AGACTTACGGAGTTGAGAGTCAAAGTTTGCTCCATGTATAGCGCTGTGTGCGTGCGTTTGGCTCGTCCTCAGCGCTGCTCCACACGCCTGGTGTGTGTAAACCAGTCCATCCGCTGGAGCTCCGCGGCGCGTGTGCGAGTCAGTGTTTGCAGTGCAGAGAGACAGAGCTCAACGGGGGAGGAGAGAGCGTGCAGGAGAGCCGAAAATCCTGACAGCTACTGGGAGTTCAAAAGCTCCCTCTCTCTTCCTCTGCTGCCGGTTCCTCTCTCTCCCTGCCTCTCCCTCCCTCCCTCTCTCCCTGTGCTGTAAATTCCTCCTCTTTCCCTCTCTGTGTCTTCATGCCCTCTCTTGGTTTCTGCTACGCCCACAAGATAGATATATTACCCGCAGGCGTGCAAACAAGAGCTACTAATGTCTCCATACCTAAAACGAGAAAAGAAACTTCACGGTCACAGAGCATGAGAGGTGCCCCAAATTTCCCAGCAGGCACCTACAGTGTGCCTGAATAACACAATGTGCTTCAACTAACTCGAATTAACAGATGTTTTCACACACAGCAACACTTCAAAAGAGAGTCGGTGTGAACACGTGCACAGCTGCCTGCTAATTGTGTCACCTCTGCAAAGTTGAACACACTGTCATCTGCAGAATGTCTCTGGCGCAAGGCATCTGTTTGGCGCTGGGAACAAGGAGTCCGTGATGAGGAAGAAATAGGCTCGTAGTGGTGGAGTGGTGCGGTGGGATGTGGGAGCATTTGCATCAGGGATCTGCGTGGAAATAAGACAAAACGGCACATTCTTCGACATGCCCAAGCATAAGGGGATGTGACAACAAAGGCTCAGCGTGCATCAAAACAGCCTTCATCACAAGACGCAGGGAAAACGAATCAGCATAAACACAGAAATGTACGACAGTTTCCCCCTCTACTGAAGCAGAGAAACACAAACTGAAACGCATCAAAGAAGCACGAGATTACATATGTGCTGCTCTGCCTCTGTGCGTGGGATTGCAAAGGCTACATGTCACAGCCGTTGTAATGTGGAGAAAAATTTTAAATAACAAGCTCATTCCAGTGTTAGCCACTGTGGCGCACAGCGCCGGCCATGGAAAAAGCAACACGGCCACACGCATCCAAATTGTCCACAACATGAAGCGAGGCCATGTACAGGGGTTATCCGCAGGGGTCTGCCCTGAGCACTGATGGTGAACTCCAAAATAGTCTCACGGTGTCCTTGTGAGTCCAGATGCATGCACTGACTGAGAGCTTATCACGTATTTTTGCTGAACTTGCCATGAGAACAGTCCCACAGAACATCCTCAATAATATACAAGCTAGAGAGTGCTGCAAAAACCAAACACTTCAACATCTCGAGTCTGTAGCCACACTAGTAGCGCTGAATAGAAGCACGGAATCATTTCAGGTCAACAGCTTAGTGTAGTTCATAGGCTTGATAGGTTGCTGGTGCTCCCTCTGATGTACAACACAGCCTTCAAAAGAAAAAAGTTCTCAGGCTTCACTTTCTGGCCCGTCTCTCCCGTCTGATGTACAGACACTTTGCAGAGAAGTTCTTGCTAAAGTAAAACCGACAACTCTCGCATGCATTTGCTAATGCTGTTGGATGGGCTTTGGTTTGCTGTGGCAGGGACTTTTAGAAGTGCACCATCTGATCCCTCACCATGAACCCAGGGTGAAGCTCAGCCCTTGAAACAAGAGCCCAGGGGCAAGTGCTAGGTGAGGATCTAATTGCCTTTGATAACCATAAAACATTCCCTGTGGCGTCATTACCTGGGGCGTATAAGCCTACCATGACTTAAAACCGCACGGGGTAAATTACTGTTCTTGATTAGATGCGGTCTGAATACCTACATGAGCCGGATGCACCGTGAGAGCTGATTTTCTGATTTCTTGCATGTTATCTGGCAGGAAGTGGAGTGATATTATCTGCAGATATTACCTAATCGTCTTCCGGTATTGCAGCAGGAATGCCATAGATATGTTTGAGGCACTTTAGGAACAGTGTTGCCGTTAGATAGTTACATAGTGTCCACCGGGAAGTAGAGGCAAGTTTTTGTTTCAACAGTAAAATATTCTGTTTGTCTTATGGGGAAATTGAACGTCTACCTCTTTTCATTCCTTCAACTGCTGCAGTCGATATGACTCTGTGCAAAACAAACAGCAGATACCTCTGTTTGCACAGCAGTAACTATGTTCAATTGTTTGAATTGAAATGGATTCCTACTAGTGTTTTAAAAACTAATGTTTTCATTGAGACAGACGATTAATCATTATTCTGTTTGTCATCAACAGGTGTTATGATACATAAGACCCGTTGCATAATGTAACCAAGGAAATATGGGGATATACCATAGACTGTATAAAAATAATGAATGTAGCCACCATGATGTCACCCACTGGTTTGTGGATTCCTGTTTTGAAGCCTCTAGTCTGGCATTTTGGCCGTCACCGTCTTGTTTTTTTTTTGGGAGCCAGAAGTGACCAAATTGGGATGACAGGAAAGAGCTGTGGAGGCGCAAGGGGTAGATATGACTCATCGACTGTGGTGAAACCTCTTAGACGCTGGCTGCTAGCTTGGTTTACACGGTGCATTTACAGTCTATATTTAAAACCGTATTCTTATGATTTCGTGTGACAAACAAATTGACTGATAACTGTGATAATACTAATGTTCGCTAGCACAAAACAGGCTTAAATCTGTTAAACAGAATGTGCTTACTGGAAAAACTGAACAACCCACTCCTTAGAGGGTCTTTAAAGTGCAACGAAACGCTAAACAAGACTTTTATAGCAACCCAGAATATTAAATTTAAACTTTCATGAACTAAAAACAAACTGAAACAGATACAGCTACACCTGGTCTGTGAATCTGGGGTAACAGCATGGTTGCGTTGTCTAATCAAAGTTGTTGCCATGTTACCTGCACCAAGAACCACTGGTGCAGCTTGCAAATTTACGAAACCACTTGACAATGAGGAGTTTGAATTAGCCAGTTCTACACAATATGTGCCCAACAATGAAAGATTTACTCTCTCAGTACTCAGTAATTCCAGCATCCCCAATCCAAGTCTTGTTTAACTATAATTATACACACAGCTATTCTATTCTATTTTCCAAAATACATAAATACTGAACTCATCAGCCTACTTCAGCTGTTTTCAGTTAGTCTTTCAGCCATTAACTCAACAGCCAACATGTCAGAGCTTGATAGGGTACAAAAATCCTGTTCCCTATGATGCTCATGCACATGAGAAGCCAGAGGTTTTTTTTACATCAATATCAATGACACTTATTATACCAGCCTGAGCTTGTCTCTCCCTCTGTGTGTGTGAAGTCCAGGTAGTATTGCATGTGCACAAAACATAATGTTACAAAGGAACTGAAGGTGTAAAACAGACATCGCATCACAATACTACAAGTGTGAAAGTATATCGTGAAAAATATTTCAACGTGGTAGGTGTAAAATAGAAACAACAGCCTGAAGCTTCTCAGTTCTTTACATTTTAAATTTTGTTTAAGTGTAAAGAACTGAGAAGAACTGAGAACTTATAAGTAATCTTGATAGATGCAACCTGATTTGTAACTGCCAGGGATCCATAATCATAGCAACTAACCAACAGAAAAACATGATGAGGGGATCTCTGCACATTAGCCAACTTGGAGCACAGAAAAGAAACTAAAATACATGATTTACAACTTGTTTAAAAGTTTGTAGCTTCACTGCCAAGAATAAGTGAGAACTAACTAACCCAAACAAGTTTCCTGCAGTTTGAACATACAGTGAGGATAAGGGGAGAGAACCATTATGTTAATCAACAATGCAAGAAGGCATAAAAGTTGTGCTATGCATCTGTCATAACCTTTTACAGCCATCTTTAATCCTGTGGCTGTATATCTGGGGCAGACCTGCTCAGTACCTGGCACTTTTTAAACAACAGCACTGTTTAGTGTGTGTAGGGACAATCCTGACTGAGGAGATCTGTGGTGTGCCTCTTTGAGTACAATGTGTGGTCTGCAGGTGTGTCTGTGTGCGGCTGTGACTAATGTGTAAATATACAATATAGTGTGCCACTTTCTGGTTTGTTTTTGTGTCTGATGGTGTGCTCTCAGAGCAATTATGAGATTTAGGACCAGTGTGCGTGTTTTTGTGAATATGAATTAGCGTGCATGAGTAATGCACGCATGCATGCAGAGACCATTGGACAGAGAGAGAGTTCCCCAGCAACATTAATATGAGAAAATGTGGCCACGATATTCAGTCGTGCAGCAGTGCTCATTAGCGAGGCCAAACAAACAGGACCACGCCTCTGGCCCACACAAAGACCACTTTGTGAGCCACCCCGTGCCACAAGTGCAGCAGCAAACGCAGAGTTCAAGGCAACGGAAATGAAAGGTTAAAAAAGAGCTGAGAGTGGAGCAGAATGAGAAAGGGGGATGGTTCAGCTGAATGTCCACATTAGTGCAGCAGACCATTAAAAACCACTGATGGTTTTGTATTTTCAAACAAGTTTTGATAAAGACAAACAATGGCAAAATAAATCCAATTATAGCTTGAAATATATAAATGTTCTGATTGTAAATCAAATAAGAAAAATAACAGAAATTGAAGGTATACTATGTGGGAATTGTCAGTTACTGTTGTAAATGCGCTTGCCAGCAAAAGCGAAAGTTAAGGCCGACCCCAGATTCACTCTAGTTTGGCATTTCGCCTGGCTATACTTGAGTCTCTTGGATGCCTGCTGCTTACAGTCTGGCAACTTGTCACTACCTTTTTATTAAGTCACTTGAGTGCTGTGGGGATACACGCCCACAAATGTCCCAAACACGGAAAATAAGAAAATATACCGCCACACACTTCTAGTTGGTCATAAGTGATTGAGAGTGATTATTGCTGTGTATATTATCTACACATTGTTTTCATCCTGCATACTTTCTCTTTTATCCTCTTGGAAAACCAATGAAAACAAACAAAAAACTTGCCTACCTCAAGGTCATCCAGTGATCGTGCCAGGCTGAGACGTTTGGCAGAGCGGCGCTTAGAGGCGCGGGCAACACCCATACCCCAAAACCTGGAGCCCTATGAGAAGAAAGGAGAGACAGATGAGCACAAAGAGACACAAAGACCAAATCTATTGACAGTATTATCAACACCACTATCAGCGAACTATTTCTAATTCTGGTTTTGATCTTGCATACCCTCGGGGGAATTAATGGACTGTCAGGCGACAATACTGGGTCCAAGTCACTGTAATTCAATTCAAATCAATTTAATTATAATCAGTTTATTGTCATTGCTGGTCTTGAAATTCCTCAAAAATGTATCTTGCAAGATAAACAGGGAAAAGTTGTGGGAAATGGTTGTTCTTTTCAAAAAGTGGAATCATTTTAAAATACTATGCATACATACTTTACATACTATTGTACTGTATCATGACAAGGAGTGGAATCACTCTTAAGATGCATTGCCAATTCATTCTCTCCTGATAGATTATGTCTAAATGCAGGAAAGTCACAATTTTGTGAGACTGGGCTGTATGTTCCTTACAGTTCACCTAACTGGATGGTAAACATAACGGAGGTAAACATGTGCGTCACGTTTACTCAGCTAAGATACTTCTTGAGTTCAGAATAGCTACAAATAATAGACGTTGAAAGTAATTCAATCTGCTTATTTCAATTACGAATCCTTACAAATATGCTGTGTTTTTAAAGTAGCAAGTAGTCACACAGTGCGAATAAGTAAATCATGTGCAGAAATCAAATATTGGATGCATCAAGTGCATCTATAACCTTTTTATAATCACATCTTAGCTGTCTAAATCAAATCCTAAGGTGCCTAGAGATTCCAACCATTAATTTTCATCTACTCAAATTTCCTAAAATGTCACTTTTAAAACACTCAGAATGGGTTATCACTGACTCCGAGATAATGAAATAATAATCCAAGAGATAAAGTGTCTATGTGCACTTCTGGGCTGATGATGACATTTACTCATGATGTGTATGGGAAAATGAAGATGTAACACTATTACCAAAAATTAAGAGTGACAGGGGACTCTGAAGTTAGTCAGCTTAAGTAGATGGTCTGGAAATCTCAGATTTTCAACTAGATTTGGCAGATTTCTCTGCTAAAGCTTCTGCATTTACATATAAAGTGACATGACACAGTTCTCTCTGACAGCACACAGACTGGTCACATTAAGCTAACCTAAACTCCCACAGCCCTGTTCCAAAGGTACTGACACAGAAGCACTAATTTCACAGTCTAACGGTCAAAAACTACTCTAAGAGATCAGACAGAACCACTACGGTTTCACTTTAGAGAAGATTAAGGAGTTTCTCCAGTCACCAGCGTTCTTATGATTGGAGAGGTTGTGTGTGTGTCTAATGCCTGAACGAGAGTTAAAGAATTGCAGATAATTACCGCTGCATGACATGGGCTCTACCCTGTAATTTGCCTGGCTTCCTGTGCAAAATTGTCTCCTTTCTGTTGATCTAATGCAGGCTGGGGGACAAGGACACAATCTGCTTTGAATTCATAAACACAGCAACATGCTTTACTTAAATAAGGTTAAAATACGCCAATAAAAATAGTAAGTGAAGTCAAAAAATGATTTGTGGCTGACCTGGATATGACCTAAAGCACTGAATTCTGATTTCTGGCTACTTACAAAAACATGTTTGCATACATATCAATTAATTCTATTCATCCCCATGGTTTAGAGAAAAAAATTTAATTCAGAGACACTGCATACACATCATTAACTTACTAGGGGAGCCTCATTTCCGGGACTACATGGATACACAGGGCCATCTTGTGGGCAGCGAGGACAGTGCCATAAAAAACAAATCAGGTTCCCTCTCTCTGCACACTTATGACAATGACATCATTGACTTAAAACAGGTGCTTTCTTAGTTGAATTCACACTAAGCACCAATTGACTGTTGAAAAACGAGGTATTGTGTTTCATTTTAGGTGCCACCAAGAACAGGCTTACTAACACCCCCTCATGTCTGGAAACTCAACTCCGTGTGACCATTTAATACTTCCTGTGTCGCTGTGTTAAACATGAATGAAGTGCAGAAACAGATGTCTTGGTCGGACTGTGCTTACAATGGAATGGTTTCATGTCAGTGTGTGTGAAAGGATTTCTCATTAACACATGGATAAGGAATTATCTGCAAGGATACAGTATGAGCAAACACAAGACTCAGCAGTATTCAGGACCCTGTAATTTCTAGAAATATCACACAGAAATCAAGCTTGGGGGTAAGGTTCATAGCCATGGGTAGACTGTTTCCACCTATAATCAAAACTTTGAGGTAGCAATCTGTAATTTTTCACTAATTCCAGATGGTGTTTTCGAGCTGGTTCCTGTCATTGATGTTGTAAAAATACCTGAAATCTGTACATAAGTACAGTTCTTGAGTAAATGTACTTAGTTACATTCCACCACTGATGAACAGCATCTCTTTCTATGAGATTTCAGTTATAAAATGCAGGGGAAAAAACAATGTCCTACTCACAATTTTGGTATCTTTGCGCTGTTTCTCTCTCTGTTCAAGAAATCTTTGGGTCCATTCCTCTCTGGGGGGGAGCATCATGACCTCTGCTGAACAGTACCTGTCTGAGGGGATCTGACTCATGGGGGGAGGCAGGATATTTGTGCTGGAGGACCAGTTGTTGGTCACCTGAGGCTCAACATCGCCGCTTTGCACTTTAGTCCACTTTGACTTTGAGAACCACCTTTGGCTACTTCTGAGGGGGTCCCCAAAGAAGTTTGTTTTTTTACCCAAAGGCAGTGGAGGAGGTGGGGGCTTAAACTGGAACTCAAGCCTGGGTGGGGGACCTCCATAAAAGCTATGAAGAGAATCAGGGCCAGGTAGTGACTCTGAAAGGGAATGTGTGCTGGCACTGTTCTCTGGATTTAGTTTTTGGCCATTCTTGGAGAAGTTTATTGGAGTGAGGTCTTGAGGAAGAGGATAATCCCATGGACAGCTGGGGAGGTGGGACCCAGGGTGGTTTCGGATTGCGGAAGGGAAATCCCTGTCCTTTCTCTCCTCAGGGGGTGATGCATTTCCAATTCCACTGTCCCCATTGCTGCTGGCGCTGCCTTGTTTGCCTGTGCTGCCATTCTCCCTGGCTTGCTGCTGAGCCTCCATGTCCAGTTTGACTCGAAGTCTCTCCACAGCCTCCCCCAAGTCACTGTACAGCACTGTGACAAAGTGAAGAACATCTGGGGGAGTCTGAGGAAACTCCAGGCAGCCCAAGGCATCTGGATCTGGAGTGCAGTCGAAGCCAAAGCGTCCAGCAATGCCTGTATGGTCCTCATGGTTTCCCAGCTCTGGGTCAATAAAGAAAACATGGCAGGAGGCCCGCAGAGGACCATCCTCAGGTACACGGCCATTGATGATATGTGCTGTAGTGACCAGGCATAAAAAACGTGGGTCTTCAGCACACACGGCCCCTAAAACCAGGTTCTCAGCAGGAAAAGCTGCCAGAACAGCTCCTGCATCGTCACAAAGTCGGATACAGTCAAACATGATTTTCATCATCACCAGAGTATGGGTACTCTGCTCTGTTCCCAGCTGACGTATTCGCTCCCGAATGGCTTTTAAACAGTCGTCCTCTGATTCTGCAGTGTTTAAAATCAGCTCTGTGGAGCTGAGGTAGCCCACCACCAAGGTCATGTTTAACATACTCCAGTCTGGATTAGCTTCTTCTGTGTCTGTAAACACAGAGTCTGTGTCGCCCACTCTAGAAGTTTCTTCCTTTGCCTGCACAGCTAAATTATTCCACTGTTGTGACCACTGCGACATGTCAGGCTCGGACACCGGCCTCTGTTTGGCGTTGATAGCATGACCTGAGTTATGGCTTGAATCATACGAGATAGTGCGGAGAACACTGGCCTTTTGGAAAATACCATTTTTCTGTCCATTCCCAAATTTTGCATCGTTAAGAATGGGGTTCCCCATGATTCGGCTTGCAGCATGTACCACCAACTGCAAGGGTCCCTTGCAGGTGCCAATCAGCTGCACCACAGTCTCATGCAAAGCAGTGGACACGTCGGTTCCATTGATGGCCATGATGTGATCCCCCTGTTTGAGTCCCACCAGGTCAGCTGGGCTCCCCTCCAGGATGCCGCTCAACAGACACGGCCACTGTCCCGAAATAGTAAAGCCATAACCTGCCCGACCACGGATGACCTCCACAACCCTCAGCTCCCCGACTGCATTTAAATCCAGACGCCTCCTCGCACCCTCAGGCTGTCCTTGTATCCTCATCTTTGTTGTGGGGTGCTGTGAGATCCAGCGTGTGGGAGCAGAAACACTTGGTTGCCAACACTATTGTGTTGTTGTCATCCTACAGTCACACAAAGTGGATGAAAACAGACAGAAAGAACATTAGAAAGCAGTTATTTTGCCATAAGAACAGAGGAATTATCACACAGGATTGCACAATAATTCAGACAGTTTCTCATCAGTTCTCAACAGAGACATGTCGTGATTAAACACTAATCTGAAGCACTTAATTGGGCTGCAACACTTATTTTCATTATCCTTGTCAATGATTTGAGTTTAATATTATCAAAAAGTGAAAAACATCAAACATATTTTCCTAATATTATTTCCATACAACAAACCAGAGCTGCAAAATTAATCAATTAGTTCTCAACTATTAAAGAAATCTCCAACTAATTGATAATAGATTCATTGGTTTGAGGAATTTTTACAGAAAAAAGTCAATTTTCCCTGATTCCGGCTTCTAAAATGTAAATATTTTCTGGTTTCTTAACTCCTTTATGTCAGTAAACTTAATAGCTTTGGGTTGTGGACAAAACAGTTCATTTGAGGACGTCAACTTAGGTTTTGAGAAACACTGATTGACACTTTCCACCATTTTTACCAAACAACTAATCCATTAATCAAGAAAAAGCCCAAACAAAAAACCCAAAATATTTAGTTCACAGCCATTTCAAGGTAAAAAAACAAAAACTGGAATATCTTAACTTTTAAGAGGCTATAACAAAAAAAATTTAGGATTTCTTGCTCAAAACTAACTCAAACAACTAATAAGTCGTCAAAATTGCAGCTTGTTTCAGCTTTAAAATACACAGCTATTATTCTACTTGAACAACACACAGCCAAATTTTTGTTAAGACTTTTGTTTAAAACATAATTACAAATACACTTTACAAAATACACACAAACCAAATTAAGGGGCAGGGTGTTTCTCTAGCTCTTTTTACTCCTGCCTAAGTAAATTATAAACCACATAAAACACCGATATCAATCTTCTTTAAACAATTATCCGTCAGAAAGGACACAGACAGCTTTTATGGCCCAGCTTGCAAAGTGCTCCCATGCACCCCTCCACCCACTCCCCCAAAACAAAGTGCCAGCTGGCTCCTTACCCACCACCAACACTTAAATGACAACCAGACTCTTTGGTTTCGGTCAACCACTGTTTCTAAATGTTCCAGTACCCTACTCACCACACCAGTTAAACACTTTCAACACGACAAAACACCTGACGAAGCATAGTGGCGTCTTTGTTTTTCACCAGCTATTAAAAAAGTTAGCTTAAACTATTACTTTAACTCTAGACCCGAAACGATCACCACAACGAGGCTGAGTGACGGCTAAGTTTTTAAATTACCTTTTTCCGACGGTGAAAAGTTCCCAAAAAACTCCCACGAGTTTAATTTCACGCCGTTAAACGTTTAAATGTTTACATTTTTCAAATTACACGTCCGTTTTTTAACAATTCAAATCAATATTTCCCTGCCGTGATTGAGCGGCGCGAGGGCACCTCCTCCCTCCATTCACTATAGCGGCGGAGATCACAAAGCGTCTTTCATTGTAACCATGACAGCGTAACGTCTCTGGCGCACGTGACGTCCCTTTCCGGCCAATCACAGTACACGTCATGTTCGATATTCAAACGACTAGAGTGACGCTATTGGCTGATAGTGATGACAGTGGAGTCTCTTTATATTTCGCTAAAGTGAATCAAATTTAAAAGCCTGCTGTCTTTTTTTTTAACAAACAACGCCATTTAAATGCAGAAAAAACATGATTTAAACCACTGTACTGTCTGAAATTATCCCGGAAACATGTCACGAAGGTTTAATTTCAAAACGCACCTTCAATGTAAATAAGTTCTCAATAAAATAATGGCAATAAATACAAATTATTAGTCTTACCTAACGTTATATAATTGCTGTTACTGCAGTCACTCTCAATCACTTTGCATGTGGTCGCCCCCTCTCTCCACACTGGAGCAGCAGCACTTGACTGCACGCTGTCTGTAAACAATACCTCACCGGTCAAAGGGCTGCAACGGCTGCACATACTGTCACATGGTTTTATTACACATGTGCAGCAGCCTACACATTTGTGGTAGAGAAGGAATAACTGACAGAGGGGTCACAACATGCTTAATGATAATAAATGATCATAAAAAAAGCTTAATGATATTTGCCATGAAACGCAAATGTAGTTTTTGGTAACAGCAATAACAGGTAAGAAATATTCAGTTACATCTTGAACAAATAGCACTGCATTTGCATTTCCAAGAAGGAGAGACTTCCATGGAGCTGATGTAGAGTGTGTGATGGAACTAACTTAATCCCCAGTTTCTCCAAATCCTCTTAAAATAGGCTGAAAGGCAAAGACCTTAACATTTCTGGCTTTATCGGGCCGTACCTTCTGTGTGTTTTGCATTTCAATAATTACTCTGCAGTAACAATGAAAGACAATACATAACGGCAGACTGTGTGATGTTTTATTCAGTAGAAATGCAAATAAGAACAGGACACCTTTGCATATTAAAATATTAAAATCTCAGAAAAAAAAGTCTAGGGGTATCTATTTATATCCAATCTGAAGAGCACAATACCACCCACACTAAGATGTTATTTGTTTGTCCTTAGTCAGTTCAATTAGTGTGCAGGCAGAGAGCCAATCTGTGTGGTCACAGTGATGCACAATTTGAAGTTGCAGGATATGAATAGAAGAATGAGCCAGTGGGGTCTGTGTACGTGACCCAAAGCTCAAAATTTGTCTGATTTTTATCTATTGCATCTAAATAAGATTCACTTTGAACTGATCGGTTAAAAGCAGAAAATGCACCTTTGATCTCAGAATTTTTTCTCTACAGCAGCATCATTGCCACAGCCATCAGCCACACTGTATTGCAAAATCAAGGTTGGAAGCTACTGTCTCACCCACAGGAGACGGTAGGCCAGCATGTTTTTGTCAATTCTGGCTGTGCTGCTATTGAGGGCTGCAGTTTTTGTTGGCTATGTTGCCATTTGCTGACAGATTCCTTCCAATCACTCCATAACAGCAGAGATTATTGCCTCAACTTCTGGCTCATAATGCTACAAATTGTCCTGTTTTGGCATCAAACATCCCCAACTTGTAATTATCCTGGAGCGGTGAAAAAATGAAGTGACAAGATGAGTCTGTTTTTTTGCAAGGCTGTTGTTCCCACAGTAATTTTAATAGGGTACTTGACAAATTAGCAAGACAGAGGATCTGATACTGCTATTTCTACAATGGAAGCTCACATTAGAGCCTGACATACGGTAGATGCTAAAGTGCCAGCGTATGTCATTATGGTTAATAACGTGGTTGTCTTCCATGAATGATATACAGGCTGATGACACCTTCAGACACCGCAACGGCATATTTTTGTACCTCTCTATATATTCCATGTTGAACTGAAATCCAAAATAAATATAGGTACAGTAGTCTTGCTTCAACAAGGCTATAGGTGAAGCAAGACTTGATCTCTCCCAGGCAACCATAACCCTCACACTTCATGGCTTCACTGGGTCTTTGCCCCCACTCTGACCCCATGATGCTGATGTGGTGGAGGGAGGCTGAATCATCTTCTCCAGAAGGTTCATCATGCGCTCCTGTAGCTGCAGACACTGGACCTGGAGGAGGTTCTGTTGGTGCAAGGCTCGACGGACCTCCCTGCATGTCTCCTCTATGGCCCGGCTCGACCTCTTCTGTTGCTGTAACATGGCCTGCATCACCCGCAGTTTCTTTCTCTTCACGGACAGGTGCCTGTTTGCATGTCTTTTCCTGCCTGAAGTAGGGTGAGAGCTGGAGAACAGAGAATGGACCTTTAAGAGCAGGAAGAGATTACCTCTGGGTGCAAGAGCTCATTGTTAGTCAGTCAGCGTGTAGTTCAGACCGGAAAAACCAGATAGACATGTATGTTTATATTGCTATGACATTGCCGATTAAAATAAAAGAAAACACTGAATGGAATTTCAAGCTATCAGCTACAACACACAGCTAAACACCAAACCAAACAGTTCACTATACGAGTAAGAAAGCCAAAAGCCTAAGCTAGGTGAAGATTACCACATTGAGCATTGCCTTTATCCTTGTCTAAGGCTAAATGCCAACCCCAAACCCTTAGCCTATGCAGCTGATGCCAAAGCAAATGAGCCAAATACAGTCAAAGGGGAACGCCGCCTAAATTAAGAATTCTAATATGTCATTTCCACAGTCTAGCAAAGCTCAATTTATATCTGAGCGTGAGCTACCCCTTCTGAAATCCAGAAACCAGAGAAGTAGTCTAGGTCTTAAGGTGCGGACATACCAAACCGACATCAAAGAACTAGTGGCGACGAAAGCCAACTGTTGCGTCGTCTACGTCGCCTCACGTCGCCCTGTGTCAGTTGCATTTGAACACACTACACGGACTACATCGGACGGCCAAGTAGCACATATGTTCTGCGCCTGCGTGAGAGAGAGCGGAGCGAGAGAGTGGTGCATCCTGTCACCCCAGGGGTTTCCTATCTGTGCAGCCGAACACCACAGCACTTCCACGGACTATTACATCCAGACGCTCCCCGTGTTTCCTCCACAGGCTCCACTTCACTCAACTTCACTCAGCTGCCCGACAAACCCGCTGCTTCTTCCCACTTTAACCTGAATAACAAACCAGGGCTCGGTGCTCCGGTTGGATCCAAACGGAGAGCCGGGACTAGCTGGGAAGCTAGCGGAGGCTAACTGGCTGTGCTTCCCTCTGGTCATGCTGAGGCTAACGTTCCGCTAGCCTCACAGCTAGCTCTGGTTTGTTATTCAGGTTAAAGTGGGAAGAAGCAGCAGATCTGTCGGGCAGCTTAGTGAAGTGGAGTCTGAGGAGGAAGCACCGGTTAGCCCCGGTTTCACTACAGGCAGATTCACTCACTACAGGGGCGAGGAAATAAAACCTGAACAGCCAATCAGAGTGATCTCTCTCACCAACAAGCTCCGCCGCCGATTCAACATGCTCAATCGGCCGAAAAGCCGCCGACGCTGAAGTGCCGACGGTGCGGGACACACTGCAAAAACTAGGCCAACAGACGCTCACCGACGGCCCGACTTTGGTCGGCGGCCTACCGTCGGCTTGGTGTGTCAGGGCCTTTAAACGATGTGACAGCGTATAAAGTCTGGAGCCATATACAATGACCCTTTACACAGAGACTGAACTAAAGGGGCGCTTCAAAGTCCCTTCTTAATGCTCAGAGGGTAAGGAGCTCCCAGACTGCATTGTTTTCCCAATTACAGACATATTTGGCTGCTGTTCTTCTTTGAGTTAGCTGCTAACTGCTAGCAGCTACTTTTCAAATCTTCCATGGTGGCTTGCATGCATAACACATTGTCAAAATGTCACATCCATGCCACCCATGATCCCATACTGCCAGCTGTCCCTTTTATACAGACGTTGTTTCGGCACTGTTATTACCTCCGATGCTGCCTTAAAAGCAAGACAACTCTGTCCCTCCATTCTGCCATTGTACCTTTCATACAGAACGGCGTGACAGCATATTGGTTTAAGATTCCCACCTTCAAGAGGCAGTGTCAAAGGGGCCTAATGAATGGAAGCCTGGTTTTGTGGACCAACAGAATGTTTGTTTTCTTTCTGATACCAAAATATGCTTTACTGTAGTGTAGTGTTCCCAGTTCTGAAACAGAAAATCCAGTATACTCAGAATATTCCCTTGGCTGCTCTTGATGTCATCTAGAACAGTGGTTCCCAACTGGTCCAGCTACCGGGTCCAGATTTCTCCTTCGTCATTAATACAAGGTCCACACAGTTACATACATTCGGTGTCATACTTGAATTTGGCCGTGTCGTCGAGCTAGCTTGCTGTTTCTGTCCAGTGGCTGTCCGTTAGTCATTCAGTCTACAGCAGGAAACCACACATCAAAATAAAAGCTCAGTGCCAAAGATTCACCACACTTAAAAATAAAGTGGGTTTTTTACAGATTTGATAAGTTTGCGAGTCACTTGCTGTCCATACAGAATGGACCTGTGACCCACTTTTGGACCGTGACCCACCAGTTGGTAACCACTGATCCAGAACATCTTTCCTTATTAATTGCTCCAGACTTTATCCCCTATTACATCACAAATTTTGACTTTTAGCACTCTAGCATTTAAATTTGGGAGAGAGTTGTTCATGCTCACCAGTCATTTTAGACTGTTTTAGATGGAAGGAATAACATGATTTTTCAAAACAGGCTTAGTTCCCCTTTAAAGCTAGCTGAAGATAACGGCTGCTAGCCTTTGCTAAAGCTAAATTTAATTCAATCTTCCCCCAGCTGTTTCCTGTAATTGAAAATATAAATTTTGAACAACTAATTGGTAAACCAATAACCAATCAAACTATCTGGTTATTTCTTTATCTATATATCTAGCAGAAAATAACCACCTCTTAGCCTTGTTTTAAGCTTAGGCTAAAGCTAAGTGTATCTACCCCCCCCCCTCACCTTAAAGTGTCATAACTGTATTTCAAAGAAAACAGGTTGTAAAATTTGAAATTACTACAAAATGCAAACACCAAACCATAAACTATACAGCTATCCATGGCTAGCCTGTCTATCTATCTATCTATCTATCTATCTATCTATTTATATAAGAGAGCAAAACATGTAAGCTAACCTGATATAGATCAAAGACACAAAATATTCTTGAGGTACTCTAGAGTTTGATTTCTCAACAATATGGTTTGCAGAGTCATATTTTTTCCATGCAACAGGAAACACATGTAGCAACATGACTGAGTAAACCTTTGTAGGACGACTATGTAAGCTTAGTTGACACCAAAACTTTGGTGGACTGCTTCTCTGAAACAATACAATACAAAGGTGAGACTATCAACCTGTTATTACCTTTATCAGTGACACACACACACACACACACACACATACAACATATGTGCAGTCTAGTTCCTGTTACCTGGAGCCCTGTGTGTGCTCACTGTCAGAGCTCAAAGAGTCCAGCTCTTGTTTTATCTCCATCTCATCTGAGGAGCCTGTGTACTCTGGCAGGAATCCCATCATCCCCTCCTCTGACTGGGGCACCAGGTTGTCTGTAGTCTGGGAGGAGGTGGAGGGACCTGCAGCAGAGGCCTGAAACTCTAAAGTGTTGACTCGCCCGTTCTCCAGCGGCTTGGACAGGATCTTCTCGATGGCCTTATAATACGGCCAGTCTGGTGCCTCCCCACTTTCACCGGTTATGGTTTTCAGTCGCCTGTTAGATCAGAAATAGATGTTTAAAGTCATGCAACAGCTGGAGTTTGAGGTCATAACTCTGACTGGATCTGGTGCACTTGCCTGTACTGAAATGACATGTTGGTGATTTTCATCTTGATCTCCTCTTTGAAACGCTGCTCTCCGGTCAGCTGGAAAAACCTCTGGGACATCTTCTCGTAAACCTTGGCATTCCTCTTGCTCATTTTCAGTTCGTTGTGGTGTTCCTCCCACACGTACAGGAGAGCTTTCATTTCCCCGTCGGTCCAGTTCGGGGCCCGTCTGTGTTTCTCACTGTGACCTGCCATGAGGTAGCTGAAACCGTCCTCTGTTGCCATGTTTGAAATGGTTTCTCTTGGCCTGTGCTGGCTGTGTTTGCAGGATCTTTAGTGGATCAATTTGAAAGTCTTTTACTGTGCTAAGAGCTGTGTTGAATCTGCAGTGAGGGAGTGATAAATGCAAGCAGGCACACACACCGTCCTGCCTGTGCCCTTCCCCCTAGCCTTGCTGAAAGAGGACTCAAAATGGGGCCTAAGGCGGGAGAGGAATCCGGTTAAAAGCTTTTAGTGGTGCGTGATGTCACCGTGACATCAAGTTGCCTTGGCAACGGCCGGGGAGGCACTTTATTTTCCCTCCCTCTCCTCTAACCACTCCCATGTGCTCTCCTTTCCCCTCCACTCTGCTTCACTGGCAGCACAAAAAGCTTTTAGCTGAAAGGCAGCAGTGTGAGCGCATGAGATTGCTGACAGTTTTGAAATATGAGCCTCTAGGGAGGGAGGAAAAAAAGGAGAGCGGAGGGTATGTGTTTCCCTGGCAACAAGGCACTGGATTTGGTCGTCAGCCAACACACTGCTCCATTTAAAAGCTTTTAATAATAGACAAGTCATTTTGAGATGGGGAGAGGGAGGATTTGCTTTATCTGGCATGATGTAGAGGAGAGGAAAACACTTCCAGTCTGCAGTTTAGACCTAAAAGGCAAGCAAAAGCTTTTCACTGAAAAGCTGTGAAACACTTTAGGAGGAAATATCAGACACAGTGGCAACATGTGGTGATCAAACATAGGCACCCCTGCAATGGCATACAAAATGCTGACTGCTCTGTAATCTGTAATCAGCTTTCTATTCATTGCTGTGCTTTATAGACAATGGACCTCTGCAGGAAGGGTCTCTCCTCTGACCAGTTGGAGACCCCTCCCCCATTTACATCTCAGCAAGAGGCGGATCTTCGTCTGCCCCCTTCTCAAGCACCCTAATCTACCATAATTATGTGCATTTATTTCCCCTTGTCTCCTGTTCCCTTTCTCTCTATCTCCCTCCCTGTTCCCATCTTTCTCTCGAGAATATTTATGCACAAAACCGCGGTTAAACCTCCAAACCACTCTTTCCCTGCAGCATTTTCGCTCCTGCTTTGTCTCACCATATTCACTTCTGAAAGCGCAGAAATGGTAATGCACTGACACAAGCCCACCCTCACTTCATCTTTATTAGTGCCACTAGTTGCTGTCAGTCCGGCTTAACTCAGTTCTGGCCTGATTAGACCCTTAACCCATCTGCTCCCCAGTAACCTGACAGGCGGCCAGTGCATTTTCATACCACAAATTGGCAGCTTTGCCCAATCCATCACATCTGTCACTTAAGACAAACGTTAAGCTCAGCTGTTGCAGAAAAGGAAGGGCAAATGAAAGTTGGTGGGAAAGGGTTTTTTTGTTGTGTGAGTTTGTTTTTCCACTGTTGATACCAGTGTGTAGTTAAGAGGCTCAAGAAAGTGAAGAACTTTGATGTTTTTTTTGGGAGGTATGGCTTCATATTTATCGCTTTCCTCAAGGTAATATATTATTTTTGCAGGGTTGTGATTGTTGCCTCGACAGTTTTCGCTCAGAGCAAGCAGAATCTTTAAATTGTCTTAAAGATACATAAAGTAAGTCTTAATGCCTATGTTTAAATGCATACTCACTAACATACTAACCCTTTCAATATCATGACCGAATCCTCTCGCTGGGGTCCACTATAATTGTTTTTAATTGTCTCCGTACATTTTTTCATTCGTTTAAGTGGAAGTAATCCAGACTACTAATCCAGGAGCCAGACTAATCTACAGATAAACTGGTCATGCGCCGCTCATTTCGAGTTGTACCAATCAGCAGTGTGGGGGGATCTATATCTACATGACAAGACTAACCAGGATCTATTCATCAAGAGCCATTTTTAGATTTCAAATTTACTCTATCTCATAATGGAACAAAATGTCTCTATAACTGAAAGTCAAAATAACAGTAAGTGTACAACATGTGAATGCGAAAACTGTGTCATTTTAAAACTGCAAAAACTAATTCTGCTATTAATTAGTCTGTTATTCTTTAAGGAATGGCTGAAATCTCAAATAAAGATGTCATAATATATTATCATAATATGCTCCCCATATTCTTATAGTACACCAACCCCTGTTTGTAATCAGTTTTTGATTGGGTATCTGCTAATGATAGCATTTGTCCTAGGTCGCATTAATCAGCAATAAACATAGGATCTATGCTCCAGATAACGGCCATTTGAAACAGCAGATTTATCTTCTTACAGAATAAAAGGTGAATTCATAAGCAAACAAACGCAACCTTGCTCTGGCCAATACACTTGGGGGGTGTGGGGGTGGGGTTGCTGCTAGTGTCATTTCGTCTGGTATGACAAGTAGCCTATGGTGGCTAATGTTAGCTAACGTTAGCGAATAGATTCTTCTCTACTTTTGCTAATGTTACGCAAAGTTTTACCATTTAGCATTATCATCTATTTGGCATTTGTGGCCACAGTGTTTGTTCTTAATTAAAAGTTATGTAGTCTTACTTACTCAAAATGAGCGTGTAAGTTGTCTGCACACGGTTCTCAACATGGAGGTGTCTGAGCTAGCGGCTAGCAGCTAACGGTGCTAACTCCACAGAAAACAGCAACAGTGGTAACAGCTGTGTTGACAGAGCTAATGGTGTTAACCTGCAGTTACTGTATGTGTCAAAGCTACGCTTTCATGACAATGCCATCCCAACATCAGCAGTAACCACCAACCAGTGAGATACACACATGCACACATGGCCAGACAGCATAACACAACAAACCACAAAGAAGCTTGGATTACAACACACACAGAGGTAGCATGAATTCATTCTCTGCTCAGGACGCCATTACTCTACTATATTTTTACATAGCAAACAGTGGCTTGCTGCTGTATTAATGAATGTTGCATACAGTTCTTTTAAAGTCATAAATACTGCATAATTAACCATTCATAAAATTAAAGAATAAACCAGGGAAAAGTGTTTTTATCTCTCTGAACCTTAGAAAAACGTTTAATGCAAATTTGTGCACATAAAACACATACATACAGTACAGTGCATACATAAAGTATCATAAAGTATAAATGCTTTTAATGTTGGCCTACATTAGTATGTCAACACATACCGCTTTACATCTCGTCTATCGTACCTCATAATAAACCGGTCCACAATGGACCGAACGCAAACTGACTGGACCACTTTGGCCAAAGCTGGATCCACAACAAGAGATAGTCTTCTGCGCCTGCTCATGGCAAAACCAAAAGATGATTAAAAACAACCGATGAGCACATTTTGTAGTGTGATTAGAGCATTTGAGGCTGGTGTGTGTGTCCTACACAACAATACAGTAGATACAAGCTGTCCGGTTCTTTTTGATACTAAGTAGAAAGCTCTGTGCAAGTCTGAGCTCAGGCAGGAGGTCCAATCCTAGCTTTTTGGGAATTAACTCCACCTGGGGTGAATGGTGTAATCCATGGTAGCTTTTCCTCTATCAGTCCTTAACATTAATGCAGATACAAGAAGACACAGAAAGCTATTAAATGCACCCATGCTCTGAGGGCAGAACAATTAAGGAATGTCAGTTTGTGAACCTATCAGATACAAAATACTGAAAATGATTTTTTTAATCTTTAAAGAAAGGGGGCTGGTATATGGCATATAAAGTGTCAGGCATACTCTGGTACACCAGCAGCTTATCTTAACTTCACCCCACATCTCATCCGTCACGCCACACCCAAAAACAATTCAAAGGAACACACCATAGAAAACAAAATGTCAAAATTAAAATATAAAAACATGATAGAATGAAAACAATATCATATAATATAACAAGTATTCATAATATACAACAATACAATTGAATAAAAATCAAACCTAAAAAGGAATGTAGTTCTGGAAAAGTACCACTAGAGGTCAGCAAATATTCATGCTCAGATATCCAGTTATACACTTGAAATATTTATCTTTAGTGACAAGTTTCTTCTGCTTGTGGACCAACACTTAAAAAATCCTTCACTTATTTAATCAGTTTAAACTTCTCTCAGTTCCACATAGCAGCAGCAGTAGTAGTAGTGGTAAACACTTCTTTAATTCAGCAAAATTCACTTAGTTACATTCTTGATATGAAGTCTCACAGTATAAATGACAGTTTTTTTTTAACCTAACACTGACTTGTATGTGCACAGTGGTCTCAAATGTCTCACTGAAATAACATCTGCAATCTTGACACTGTTACTGCATTGGGAAGCAAAAAAATGATTTCCCACGTATCGAAACTGACTCATGCAGTCATAGGAGACATTTTATACTCAGCAAATTCTGCTGAAACAATTTCTGCAACGTTCGTGTAAAGAGTTTCTGAAGTTGTTTTCCATCTCTGACGGTTAGAGTTCTCTATCAGATTCTGAAAACAATTAATCTGTCCAGCTGTGGATTCCTTCACAGGATCGTGCGTTTAATCTCGTGTCTTCAGCGTCTTGAATGTCTCTGTTCAGTCTCTGGGTAGGCACTCCTCCTCGGTGATGCCCTGAGCCTTGAGCTCCTCCAGAACGTTGTCCAAGTGGCCCGGGTCAGGGTAGCCGTGGCCCGTCAGGTTGGAGCCAAACTCTGTCTTGTGGTGCACCTCGTTCCAGATGACTGTATCTGACTCGCCGGTGGTGCTGGATGTGCCCACAGAGAAAATGAGCCGGCGGTCCCACGCCACCAGAAGAAGCCTCAGAACCTGGAAAAAGAGACAAAGACAATACATTACATTTCTGCCACTAAATCCCCCTAAATCAAACACACTGACCACACACTGAAGTGAGACAGTTCTTATTTACCTTGCGTCCCTTCTCACTGTCAGGAAGGTAGCAGTGTCTGGGGAACCCACGGGCAGTGAAGGGTTTGCCAGGATTTGGGTGCTCTGGGCCCTAAACAGCAAACGCGAAGTTCGTCACATCGTCCAAGCAAAACCACCTTCAGTATTCATCATTTCAAACTGTCATGTAAGCATGGGTTACCTGGATGCCAGGAGGGATGTTATAAATGATCCGGATGGTTTTGCAGTCCGGGTGACCAGGGAGTGAGTGGGGGATGACGTGGTACTCCATCTTGCCCGGGGGCTGGTTGCCGGTCTTTACTCCGTAGATGGTCTTGCAGGTGGGGCACTGCAGGCTGCCGTCCTTGTTGCCATTGTTATACATAGCAACGAGGCATTGGAGGT